TTCAAATCTCACACAAGAATCTCTCGTGTCCCCCCTAAACAGAAGCTACAAAGAAGGGACCTTCTGGAAAATGCAGTCAGCCTAGTCAAGCTAACATTACAGGGTGACCACACTAAAGTTCCATTTATAAAAAGAACTCCATTTGATTTAAGTTCCCTCAATTCTAAAATTCTAAACCCTATATTTTTAACACTTTCAATTTATACTTATATAATCCTTCAATTATATTATCAATGAAATTCATCTATATAGACCATCATGTGGCCTAGCATATTCAGATAAGAAAAATTTCTTCTATAAATGAAAATGCCACTTCAATGTCTAATAACCAAAAAGACATTAAATAACCTTATTAAAACTACATACATGCTAGGGCCAGCCTGTGGCTCACTTGGGAGAGTGTAGTGCTGATAACACTAAGGCCACGGGTTTGGATCCCTATAAAGGGATGGCCAGTTAGTTCACTTCGGAGAGCGTGGTGCTGACAACACAAAGTCAAGGGTTAAGATCCCCTTACCAGTCATTAAAAAAAAAAAAGAAAAAAAAACTATATACATGCTGGGTTTTTTCCACAATTTATCATTTCTGAAATGGGGATATGTTTAATATCGATGGTATGTCTTGGTTTATTTGGCAGTTTTTCTTCCTTAATGGTAATAAAATAATGATATGTCATACCATGGTTTCTTAGGTTCAATAAAGAAAGATATTAAAGGCTTCCCAAAACCTCTGCACGAACTGTTATAATTGTAATAGAAAAATAAACCTCTCTGATCAGGAGAACCTTAAATAAAAGTAAACCAAACTCCAGAAAATGTGGAACCATAATTTTAAAGCTATTAAATACAATATTAATTTTTCTTATTTTCAATCAAAATATGATAAAGAATAAGTAAAAAGTGGCAATGTGGTACAATTATGTGATCTCTAGAGGGAGAAAAATGACTGCTGAATTTTACTAATACAAAATCTTTTGATTCATTTGATAGCTACTACAAACTGATGTTTTCATACCTTTTAAATGCCAGAATATACACAATATTTAGAAAAAGATGAAATGCAAACTAATGCTCTTTTAGACACTCCTTGAACTGGGAGAACACAGGAACACACTAAAGTTGCAAAAAAAGGTAAACATTTTTAACGACTCACATAAAGTAAACTAGTACTGCCCAAGAACGATAGTTTTTGTTTTGTTTTGTTTTGTTTTTTTGTCTTTTTTCGTGTCCAGCAACGGATTGCAACCCTCAGTGTCGCGCCCGCACCGGACCAGGACCGGCAACGGGATCACAACCCTCGGTGCTGCGCCCACACCTCGCTCAGCCAGTGAGCGGGAACCGGTCTGTATGTGGGATCCGAACCCTCGGTGGGAGCGCTGCCGCGCTCCCAAGCGGCGCACGGTAGCAGTGCGCCACCGGGCCGGCCAGAACGATAGTTTTTGACTATATATTTTTTAAATCTTGCACAATCCCCAAGATTCCTATGGCCTTTTTGAGACCATTAAATCCCATACCCAAAATCAAATGTCACTCTCAGACCCTTCTCTTGACTAAAAGCTGATCATAGTGCCACAAGCCCCAAAACTCACTGTTATTTATTCCACAGATACTTGATGAATAAAGAGACATATCACACTTGCACCTGTTATTATAAGCGGCTGTTATGTAGTAATAAGAAAACCCAGCTTGGGTTTTCAGGTTCTCAGCTTTGCCATTTGTTAATTAGATGACTTTTACAGATGAGGAAATCTAAACTCAGAAAACCTAAGTGACCACCTTTTCAAAGCAACTTCAGTGAGACTAAAAGGGATACTCTGTATGATGGCAAGTTATTCTTTGCAGTATATGCTGTCAGTATACAACATTTTTATGCTTTAAGAAAGAGAAAGAAAGCCAAAGAGAGAAAGATAGCTGAAGAGATCCACACTAGCCAGAGCCACCACAAAAAGAGATTTTTTACATTCTCTCACTCCTACACATGTGATACTTCCCCAATGTGTGGTCATGTCTCCTACCCAGTATGCGATACTTAAGAACCAAAACAGTATGAATATGTAAAGTTTGTAATATGCTTCCTATTGTTTTGGCAATATTGTTTTAATATCACCAAATACAATATAGTTCAAAAACAACTTGAAGTGCCTCATATCCATCTTATATTATCAATGTTCAAGTTAAAAATATAATTTATTGTACAGAAAGAACTTAACACAGTTTAGGCTCCAAAAAATTATTATAAACTAAACTAACTGAAAAACTTGACAGGGTCACAGCTCTTTTAATCTAATTTAAAAAATAAGATTCAAAATCATTGGTTCTCTGAGCCTCAGTCTTCAATCTTCTAATTTTCAAATATGTGTCTAGCACTCCAAAAAAAAAACAAGAACACAATGAATACACATACAAACTGCCAAGTTTTATACAAGTCTTTAATAAATGTGAAGATGGGCTAATAAAAAAGACTCATCAGTACAATGGAATATTACTTGGTATTAAAAGGAATTAATTATTGATTACAACATGGATGAACCTTAAAAACACTACAGTGAAAGAAGCCAGTCACAAAAGGCCACATATTGTGTAACTCCATTTAAATGAAATGTCCAAAATATGCAAATCCATAGAGAAAGTTAGATTAGTGGTTGTCTGGGACTGGGGGAAAGGATGAGGAGGTGAACAAAGAGTAACCACAAGTAGAAAGCTTTCTTTTGGGGGTGATGAATATGTTCTAAAATTAGATGTTAATGGCAGAACAATTCTGTAACTATACTAGAAACCACTGAATTGTATACTTTGAACTGGCAAACTTTACGGTATATAAATTATAACTCAATAAGGCTGTTTTTTAAAAAGATCAGTTAGATCAGCTCACATCTTCAGCCTTCAGAGGTAAGAGTATAGAGCAATGGTTAAGAGTACTGACTGGGGCCAGACTGCTAGCCTCCATCACTTAGTAGCTGTGCAATCACGGATAGGTTAAATAGGCTCTCTGTGCTACCTCTGTAAAATGGACATAATAGTGCCTACTTCATAAAATTAAGTGAGTTAACATATGTAAAAGCACTCAATCACCTGGCTCTTACTGTTATATGAGTTGTTTTTATTAATAAGCCTCTTACAAGAGAAGAAAAAAAATCTACACTTAAAAATAAACGAAAAATGAATGTAAAAACTATCCTTAATAATGAGTTACTTTTAAATCAAGGGCATACATGAATAATGGAACATATACCATAATAACCTAGAGAAAACATGAGATATAATTTATTGTGTCTCAATTTATAAACATTATCTTGTTTTGGTTTTAATTTACTAACACTAGTTTATTCCTTCAAGCAGCTAATTACATACGATAACCTTAAAAACAATTAAGCATATAACTTAAGCCAACCTGTTCTGATGACCTTAACATATCTAATTCTTTTAATATATAAAATTAAAAATTTTTATCATAAACATTTAATTATTATAACATTTAATTTGGTTTTTTTTTTTTTTTAAAAGATGACCGGTAAGGGGATCTTAACCCTTAACTTGGTGTTGTCAGCACCACGCTCAGCCAGTGAGCGAACCGGCCATCCCTATGTGGGATCCGAACCCGGGGCCTTGGTGTTATTAGCACCGCACTCTACCGAGTGAGCCACGGGCCGGCCCTTAATTTGGTTTTTATATTTGTCATGTATTGAATGGGTAATAAGCTAATCACATTATTTTATAAAACAATGAAAGTGCAATGAATTTCTCCTATTGTGAAGAAACTGAGGGTCTCTAGTGATCACTAGTAGAGTATCCACTATAAAATTTTAAACAAAATTATAGGTGATACATCATAACAGTCTTTCAGATATTCAATAGTTTAAATACTCTCAGTACCACAAAATGAAGACCTCTAGAACTACTATATCAAGATTGTTTTTTTTAGAATTCATTCCACAAAATGGACTTAAAACTGTCAAGAAATGTTATGGATTTCTTAAGCCATCCAACCAAGACCAGTTTGAAAGTTTCTGAGTTGTTCTAGCTGCTCAGGAGACCTGACTAATTAAGATGAAGACTGTAATTTTGGAAGTAAAAAGCAAATTAATAAAAACTAGAAGTCCCTTGACTAGTAAACAAAGAGGAATTATCTTTCCTGGCAAGCACATTATTCTACCCCCAGAAATAAGCAATTGCCAACACATATGTTTCCATAACTTAGAATTTTTTTTTTTACATCATGCATGTATTACACTTTTAGCATTTGGGGAAAATGTTATCCAGTCCTATTGGATGACACTATTCATATTTTAGTCCTTCCTTAATTAAGATTTTCCAGTACATCATTATGAAAAATAGTAAAACAGAAATAGCTACTTACATTTAGGGAAAACCTACTATGCACCAAGTACCATTCTGGGTTTGTTTTAATCACTATTTCCTGTAATATAGTGAATCATTAAAAAATCATTTTCAAGTACTTCCCAAAGAACACGCCCCAATGCGAGAGTATCAACAGAGAAGTAGTCTCCTTCAAGATTACTGAGTGTTATCAAGATTTAAGAGTTGCCATAAAAACTTCTGCTAAAACTTCTTCTGGGCACCAAGGCTCACAATCTCCTACAAGTTTTGCTTCATTAATCCCCTGGCCTCAGTCTACCACTTAGTCAACCTCAGTCTTAATTTCTTTATTTTATGTTTTATCATGTCTAATTGTATTTTCAAACCCTCCAAAAATCTACCAAGTATTTCTACAATTAGATATAAAACATTTGGAAATAGTTATCAGGGACTGCCTCATCAAGCTTGGTACCAAAGTTTAAAAGTATTTTAACCATCTTACAACATAAAAGTAGCAGTGGCAGAAGGTTAATAGGAACTGACCTGTTCTTGAATAAATGTCTAACTAAATGCTACTTTTTTCAATACTAATTTTCGCTCACTTTAATTGGTTCAGTTCCTGAAAAAGGTGGGTTTCAGGCAACATACTGTCAACTCCTATCACTTACATAATACACAACCAACCTTTTGCTCTGCTTGCAGTTGGTCACATCTCTCTTTCTCATGGTTAAGTTCTCTTTCCATTCTTCCAACTTGCTCTCGAAGTTGAGCTGTTTCTTTCTCCAGAATGGCAATTAACTTTAACAGCTCTTCTTTTTCTTTCATGGTTTTCTCAATTTTTAACTGTAAAACAAAAAACTCAAATAAATTGTTTTTTTTCTTAATCCTAAAATATGTTACTACAAATTTAGTTTTCAATTTCAAAAATATAATGAAGAAAGTCACTGAAAGAACTTTTACATTCTACCTACTTCATATCAATCAGCCTCTTTTTTAGCCTTCAGTTAGAAAAATTCATGAATCATAAATTTAAACCTTCTTTTGGTTAGGCAAAAGGGAAAATATTTTAAAAAGGTGAAATGAGTGAAATTTAATTATGAAGCTACCAGCTAATCACTTTTCAAATCAGTACTAAAAATATGACATTAGGTTTCACAAGTTAATTAATTATGGGGCTTTCTTATTCCCATTAGTAATCAGATATTTCAAGAGGAAAATTTGTACCTCTTCTTGAATGCAAACCTTTGAGTCTATTTAGAAGTTACTTATGTGTTACATAAGGCCTTCATCTATAGACTCACTACTCAAAGTTCTGGTTCTTTAAATAAGTTACCAAGAAATAAACAGTTTCAATATATACAATGGCTCTGACTTGGCTAAATTAAAACAATTTTCATAAGTAAAAATGCAAATTTTAGGACAAAAATGCAGACTATAACAATACGTTAACAATATAATTAATTCTTATGAGAATACTAACAGTTACTCAGTTCAGGAAAATCTAAACTCCAACATTCTAAAAAATTACTAAATTAAGGGACCTAAAATAGTAGTAAATAAAATGGTAATATTTCTCTTACAGCATAAAGTCCTTGATGCTAACCATGGAAAAAGGGAGATTCAGAGGGAAGACTTTGCAAAGGAGGCACCATACATTTAGCTAGTAAAATAAAATGCTTTTTCCGCAATACACCCTAAATTAGTTTTCCAGGGTCATAGAATCACGGAATCAAACTGATTAAACTTTAAAATGGCTCTTATGAAAGTTGAATAGTAGAAAACTTTTAGAATAACCCTTCTACCTGCTCCAACAAACCAAATGAAAATGCCAAGAGTAAAAACTCTCAAAAAGGAAAAGTTTATTTAATCAATGAACTTCTTTTTCTGCCTTACGTAATTTTTTTAAATGATGAGGTATATTGCAATAAAAGACAGTCAATAAATTAGTTAATAGAAAATTAGGACCAATCAAGTATATTAACCACAAAGGTTTATATCATTATCAATTCAGCATTAAATTTGCCTCAAAACTTTCTGGCAGCTTAAAAATGAAGATACATCTAGACATAGGGCAATGGAAACATTATAAAAGAACTACTTTTTCCCAGTGATTTATTTAATTCACACATACTTTCTGAAGAGTTTACTAAAGAAAGTAGAAATTATTTTTTAAAGAATTTAAATTAGATAATGCATTTAAGTCTAAGATCTGCCCTAATATTGTATTTTGAAGTATTTCAAACATACAAAATAGTTAAAATTTTACAATGAATACCCACACACCCATCACCTAAATTCACTAATTACTGATATTTTGCCATGTTTACCTTATCACCCTTTATATACTTTACTTAAGTTTATTTATACCATTTTTTTCCTTGCTAAACAATCTGAAATGAAATTGCAGACATTTCACCCGTAAGTACTTCAGAGCAAGCAACTCCTAATAAGGACAGTCTCCTTTTCAACCACTACTGTTACTGTAGCTAAGAAAATTAAGAATAATTTTATGTCACCCAATAGATCATCCATAGTCAGATATTCCCCACTATCCCCAAAATATCTTTTTATAAATCTACTATCCAATCAAAGTTCATGTACTGCAAGACTGTTTCATTAATCACTTTTAATGTCAACAGGGCCCCAGATAATGTCTCACATTAGTACTAATTTTGTGCAGTTTTAGATAAAATCATTAAAGATTTTAATAAATGTGGATATTTAAAAGATACCAAAAACTTGGTCAGAAAATAAAAACATCTTATCTCAGAAATATTTACTAAGAGAGCAATTTACATTTTCTTTATAAAGTACTCCTTGTGGAATAGGTAAAAGTGAAATAGACTGTTCTATGTCCGAATTTACTTGGAGGGAAAAGCACGAGAGAGATGTGGATGCCAAAATGCTCATCATTTTTCTGTTAAAAGCCCTGAAATCGGGGTGGTCTAACAAGTATTCAAAAATCTGCAATGTAAATACTAACTGCATTCTTCTTAAGAGTTGGGCTTGTTTCAGCATCTTTGACTAGTATTCAAATACCAGGCTAAAAACCTTGATCATCAGGCAGTTGTCACCACAAAATGTTTGAGTCACCCTATAAAAGTTACATTTCTGTATTTAAGATAAGAGAGGAATTTCTGGAAAGGGGAAGGAAAGACATGGGAGAATTCACAATAAAAAACAATTGGTTCCTTCTAAACTTCTAGTTTGTGTAATAAAAGAATTGTATCTATAACCTCTTGTCTTTTTTTTCTCTAGTCTTACTTCGTGAAAGTAATTAACGTAAAATCAGAGGCATAAAATATTTATGTGTTTAAGAAAATCCATCTGACTATAAAGAAAAAGGAATGACCTGCAACAGACAAAATATGTGTGTAAATTAACCAAAAATGTACACTGAACCAATTTAAAAAGCTATTTTTCTTATTATTACAATAGAGAGGACTATATACAATTAATCACAATAACTCAAATATAATATTCTAGTTTTTTTTTTTTTTTAGGTATAAGTTAAAGATATTGGGATCGTGAAATGAGAAAAGAATGCTGTTGTATTCTCTCTTTCAATGACCACTAAAAATTAAGACATAAAATACTATTAGACCATCTACACAGTAAATTTATAGTGGAGCCAAATGCCATGACTCCATAATATTCAATTAAAGAAAAAAATAGTACAAAGATTTTCACCTTTTCTTTCGAAATTATGGTTAATCTAGGTTTATTCATTTGACCAGATGAATAAAGAAAAGAATGTTTCTGGGCCAGCCCAGTGGTGCACTGGAGAGTGCGCCGCTTGGGAGCGCGGCGGCGCTCCTGCTGAGGGTTCCGAAATTATGGTTAATCTAGGTTTATTCATTTGACCAGATGAATAAAGAAAAGAATGTTTCTGGGCCAGCCCGGTGGTGCACTGGAGAGTGCGCCGCTTGGGAGCGCGGCGGCGCTCCTGCTGAGGGTTCGGATCCCATGTGGAGACCGGTTCCGGCTCACTGGCTGAGCGCAGTGCGGGCGCAACACCGAGGGTTGCGATCCCATTACCAGTCAGTAAAAAAGACAAAAAGGAAAAAAAAAAAAGAAAAGAAAGGAATGTTTCTAAAAATGCTCAACCTAAATTAAGAATTAGGATGCTTCCTTTATTCACAGCCACACTTGAGAAAGAGCAAGCTCGTGATGTAGTTAAATAAAGTTCACATCCAATTACAGTTAGATTTATTGTTTTACATCACTCTCCCAACCAACTTCATCCCCCAAATCTATACTATTCTACAGTCAACGGATTAGGCCACCAGAAAAAAGGTTAGGGCAAGGGAACATAAGAAATGTTTTAGGTCTAAATTCTCTCAATAAGTATTACTGCATTACCTACTATACACAAAATACTAGTGAGCCCTGGGGAAAGTCCCTGCGACAGTAGAACCAATAACATAATTATGACCAAAAGATTTTTTTTAAGTATTTCAAAAAAGACAATCTAGGTTTATTATTTCAGTTATTAAAGAGCATTTGATTTTTGTGCATAGTCCTGCATGACCTAAAATTCTTAAAATGCCAATCAACATGAACTCTATACCTAAAATTATCAATGAATCATTATCTCACTGTTGATACCAACCTCAAGAAGGCCAGCTTTTGTGGTCACCACCAACATGTCAGAATTTCCTTCATCTTCCATAGTAAGCAACTCTTCAACTGGAGAAGAAGCTCGAAACTGGAAAGGTGTACTTGCTCCACGAATTTCACCCTTATGGGTGACATAACAGAACTGATAAAATTCTCCATCATCATTTGGAAGATAATATCCTAAGAAGTTGTCAAATGAAAAAATAATTATTAAACTTCATGTTTCAATTTAACAATACTTGCTCTCTCTCATTCCTCACACTGTTCTTAACACATATCTGAGATATGTCTTTCCTCCTATCTTTCACAAATTATGAAATCTAGACTCTTTCTTCATCTTCAAACATACCTAAATTTTTTTTCTCTTAGACCTAAGCTTATACTGCTAGAATATTCCTTCCTCATTTTTTCACTAGGGCAATACCAACTCATCTGGGAGAGGTAAGTATGTACAGTCGGCTCTCCATAACCATGGGTTCCACATCCATGGATTCAACCAACCAAGGATTGAAAATATGTAGTTGAAAAAAAAATCTCATCTATACCAAACGTGTAGTTTTCTTGTCATTATTCCCTAAGCAATTCAGTATAAGAAATACTTATATAACATTCACATTGTATTAGATATTTTAAGTCATCTAGAGATGGCTTTACATATACAGAAGGATGTGTATAAGTTACACACAAATATGCTACGCCATTTTATATCAGGGACTTGAACATCATCGGATTTTGGTATCCACGGGAATTCCTAGAAGCAATCCCACACAAATACCGAGGAGACTAGAGGAGAAGGAAGGGAAGAACCAGTACAAAAATCTGAGGATTGGGGATAGGGATGGGAGTATTTAAAGAAATCTTCCCTCCAACTTGACTTTCATTACATGCAAAAGGGAGATATTAACTAAAGAAATATGCTGTACATGTGAACTGGGTAAAGGCAGAAAAAAAGGTGAGGTCCACTGGTGCAGTGCAACAAAAATAAGCTTTGGAACCACACAGATCTATTTGGGAATTCCAGCTCTACAGCTATTATTTACTTAACACCTCCCTGAGCTTCAGGTTCTTATCTGTAAAAAATAGATATGAAGCCATCTATCTCAGAATTCCCAAGTATCTACAGATAATGTATTAATACCATCTAGCCTACTATCTGACAAATAACAGGTATTCAATACTTGTTCCCTTCTTTCTTCAATTGTTACCCTCTCTTTAAAATTTTGCCAGATTATCCTAACTCAAAATTAATCTTTACTTCCTCTCCAAAACTCACACAGTAATTTTTACATTTAAAAACAAAACAAAACAAAAAAAACCTCCACAGCATACTCTGTATTACTATTCACTGTGTACATACTTTACATCCTATATCAGACCTCAAAAACACTGAGGGCAGATGCTGAGAGCAGATTTATTTATGTGTGTATGTATGTATGTGTGTGTGTGTCTATGTTCGTGTGTGTGTATATATAAATTCTATAATCCCCCAAAATGATCTGTAGAAATGAAATATTCAGTAACTGAATGAATGTGAAATGAATATACTAAGATGAATACATACATGCTATTAATATCTACTCAAAAATCTGTAATCACTATGCCTTTCATGTCTTGAAATTTTCAGACTCATTATTATGATACCTACTTCATCTGATTTTATTCTTTAAAACATAGCTGGCTTTTCTACTTAGAAACAGGGAAGAGGAGAAGAGAATACACAAGATAAGCCAAGAACTTCTTGTAGTTGTAGTGCTTGAAAGCAAAGAAGAAGCCTTCAAAAAAGAATTGGAAGGCATGGTAGTGGTGAGGGTAGGGTCAAAATATACAGGAGCCCACCTGAATACCTCCCAAAGATCAAAGCCAGAATAGTTTGGGCAACAAAAAAAAATAGGCTTCATCTCATAGAAGAAAATAATGAGTCCATGGAGAAGGGTGTAACTCTTCCTAACACTAATTCCAACTAATTAAGGTACAAGTCAGGAGCATCATTAGGCAAACATTGCAATCATAATTACTGCACAAAAGATACATTGAGAGATACTAAAATTAGTGACTGAAAATTTAAGGAGAAACAAGATAGCTCCCGCATAATATTCATCAATTACAAATGGAAAAATACTAACTTTATTTACAGTGGCAAAACCCAGACAACTTTAAATACCTTAACCAAGTGATCAAGATTAATAGCACCAGTAATAAGATATATGGACATCAAGTACTCCCTGACACAAAGCACTGAGAAAGATATATCACTTCTATTGCAATATTCCTGAAAATGTGTAACCACAATCTAATCATGAGAAAACATCAAACAAACCCAATATGAGAGACATGCTACCAAAAAAACCACAAAACTAAACAATACTCTTTTAAAAAGTAAAGGTCATGAAGATAAGGACAGACTAACAGACTAAGACAACTAAAACAATGTGGGGTTCAGACCGATTCCGAGAACAGAAAAAAGAACATCAGTGGAAATACCAGTGAAATCTAAAGTCAATAGCACTGCACCAATGTTAAATTCCTGGCTTTTTAAATAAATGTCCTATGGGCATGCAAGATGTTAACATTATGGGAAGCTGGACAAAGGGTATATTGAAATTCTGTGTTACTATTTTTCCAAGTTTTCTTTACATCTAAAATTATTTTGGCTGGCCGATGAGCTCAGTTGGTTAGGGTGTGGTGCTGATAACACCAAGGTCCAGGGTTTGATCACTGTACCGGCCAGCTGCAAAAAAAAAAGGCCACTTATTTTAAAAGCTCAAATAGAAAACAAAAATATAGTCTGATCAATCAGCTCTGGTATCATGATGTTAGAAATTCTACAACCTAGATATTCAAGTATTGTTTCTTTAAAAAACAAAAATCTCACTAAAATAAGCTGCTAAAATAAATGGTTCAAATACCAATTGAGATAGATATAATTATTCAGAACTGCAATCATAAGAAAAAGTAAAAATCAAACTGAGTCAAATTTTACAGCCTGTGACATTAGCACTCAGTAAAATTATAATATAAAAATAAGAATCTATTTAGAAAAACAATTGCATTTAGGTATTTTTTGTTGGTTGTTTTGAGCTTTACATTTTAGGACTCTCGTGATTCATCCACGAAATGAGGGAAGTGATTTAGATTGTGCTTAAAAGCCCTTCTAGCTTTAATATTCTATGACTAAGTTTTCTGTGTCTCTACCTTGACTTCCTTCTGCAACAAACAAACAAAAAAGTTCTAAGCAGGCAGAAGCTTTTATTTATGGATTTCAAAATTCAAAATAAAAATTAATATTAATAAATTTTCAAAAACTTGCAAAACTTACTGCATTTATGCTTAGCTCCCATAAAAACACTTTTAAAGCATAAACAGAATAAACTGGATGCTCTTCTCTTTCTTTTCTTTTACCACTTTTAAACTACTTCCCCAGTCACTAATAAACAAATGCATTAGTCACCATAACAAATTCAGTAAGTTACTTCTTAAGAGAAAAAACAATCACAATAAAAATGACTAAAAATAAACCCACAACATTTAAGAAAATACTTTTAAAGGTAAAATCATTTCCAATACACATACTTAAATCTGATTATCTAAAAAGGCTATGTATTAAAAGATTAACTACATAAATAATTTATAACATTTCTTTACTCATAAACATCTATGAGAACCTAAATCTCTGCCCATATTACACTACAAATTTTATCCCCTGAATATTTGGTTTTTGACATAGAACATAAGGAAATATTTTTCGTATATGCAAGCTCCATGCGGTCACACTGCCAATTAATATTTACAGCAAACATATACAAAACTCATAATAAAATAAAAAAGTTTTGTTAAAATGCAGACCACCAAAATCCACAACACTGACAACACCAAATGCTGGCGAGTATGTACAGCAACAGGAACTCTCATTCACTGCTGGTGGGAATGCAAAACAGTACAGCCACTGTATAAGACAGTCTGTAAACAAAATTAAGCATACAATTCTCTTATAAAATTAAACACAGTCTTACCATACAATCCAGTAATCAAAATCCTTGGTATTTACCCAAATGAGCTAAAAATTTACATCTACACAAAAACCTACACAAGAATGTTTACAGCAACATTCATACAGTTATGTTTATTCATACAGTTATGTTTATTCATAACTGCCAAAACTTGGAAGCAACCAAGATGTCCTTCAGAAGATGAATGGATAAACAAACTGTGATACATTCATACAATGGAATGTTAATCAGCAAGAAAAAACACCTCTTTTTTGAGCTATTATGTTACAAAAAAAAATGGGGAAATTTTAGATGTGTACTGCTAAATGAAAGAAGCCAATCTGAAAAGGCTACATACTATACGATTCCAATCATATGACATTTTGTAAAGAGCAGAACTATGAAGACAGTAAAAACATCAGTGGATGCCAGGAATATGGGGACACGGAAGTAGAGATGAATAGGTGGAGGGAGCACAGGTGATTTGGGGGGCACTGAAACTATTATTCTGTATGATACTGCAACAGTGGATATGTGTCTACACATTTGTCAAAATCCACAAAAAGCACATCACAAAGAGTGAATCCTAATATAAACCATGAACTTAGCTAAATATAATGTATAAATATTGGTTCATCAATTGTAACAAATTTGCTGCAAGATGTTAAAAGTAAGTGAAACCAGGGAGGGGTGGGGTAAGGGGTTATAAGGAAACTGCATACTTTTTGCTCAATTCTTCCTATAAACCTAAAACTGCTCCAAAAATATAGTCTATTAATTTTTTAAAAACTAAACCATCTGAAGCTGATTAATCTGAACCTAGTTATTTTAAAAGTCTCCTTTGTATATGTCACCAAAAACCAAGTCAGATATTGCCTGACATAAAGCAGCACATTTTTTTTTTTTGCTTGCCGGTACAGGAATCAAACCCTGAACGCTGGTGTTATCAGCAACACACCCTAACCAATTGAAGCATACTTTAATTTACATAAGACCATGTCAATGAGATAATGTTAACAATATTAGTTGAAAACTTACCTACTATATGCCAGTGGTCCTCAAACTTCTACATATCAGAATCACCTGTTGATCTTTTAAAATTCCAAAACCCAGGCCACAACCCAGACCAATTAAATCACAATCTCTAAGATGGGACATAAACATCTAAATGTCTTGAAGCGCGCAAGTTATCCTAAGTACAGTCAAATATGGAAAGCACTGTACTAAAGCTATATGCATAGGCTCCAAGTTATGCTGTACTTAGAACAGGCTAATCCTCTCTCAATAACTATAACAAAAAATGACCAAAACATAAGGAGGGGTATCATTATAACAATTTTTCTAAAATAAATACTAGTAACGTTTATCCCAAATTTCATCTTTGGTTCATTGGTTCTTTTCTTAAATAAGCATTGTGTGCTAAGTATTTACTTAAATGAATATTTCATTAGTTTTTTTTTTTATAGATGCTTTCTTTTAGTTTGGTTGGCATAAAATTCAATTAAATTTCAACATTTTGAAGAAAGTAAACCAGATCAGATAAGGGAGAGATGATTTGGGGTTTGATTTTAAAGACTTACAAGATTTTAAAATTTCATTAAAATGTATGAAACAATAAACTTTAATCATTCATCTTATAATCTTGAACACATTTTTTAAGGTAATGATTGATACGATGTATACTTCTTTCTGCTAGAATAAAAAAAATTTTAATAGAGCCAAATGCTCAAAGGTAGGAGGAACCCAGAAGAAAAACCCTTAACTATTAATAGCAGTCCCAGAGGAAAGTAATAAAGTCCTAGAATTTTTTTTTAAACAAAGAGGTAAATAAAGTCTTAAGGAGCAAAGAGCCTTCTCAGGGGTGTTTAACCTAGGGTTGAAGGATAAAAAGAATTCAGGTTATCCATCAACTTCAATTAAAAAATAATATTGTTGGGCCGGCCTGGTGGCGCACTGCTACAGTGCGCCGCTTGGGAGCGCGGTGGCGCTCCCGCCGAGGGTTCGGATCCCACATACAGACCGGTTCCCGCTCACTGGCTGAGCGAGGTGTGGGAGCAACACCGAGGGTTGCGATCCCGTTGCCGGTCCAGGTCCAGTGCGGGCGCGACACTGAGGGTTGCGATCCATTGCCGGACACGAAAAAAGACAAAAAGGAAAAAAAAATAATAATATTGTTATTTTTACTAACATCTTACTAAAATTTTAGCATGTTCTTTATTATTAATGTAGCAACAAGCCACATGTATTACCAGTACTTGTGATTTTTGTCACTAACAGTAATCATTTATATGTTAATATCATGTTACAATTGTTACAGGTATCTCAATGCTATCTTACTTTGAAACTATGGCAGTTACCAAATCTTCCAGTACATCTTGTTAACACACAGATTTTGAAGCACATATATTAATATACCACAAATTTATTATTACAATATTTTAATAACTATTTCAATATAATTGGTTTTCTTTGCAATCTATGCATTTTATTTTATATACACTAAAATATTATTCTGAGACAGAGTCTATAAACTTCACCAGATTAAAAAGAACCCATGGCATACACAAAATTAAGAATTTGCTTTAATACAACCCAAAGTCACTACAACTGTAATACAAAATCTCTCTGCAGCAAATTCTGTACTAGATTTCTGAACAAGAGTATTTTTCTCAATTTTTTTTTTACTGTGGCAAAAAAACACATAAAATTTACTAAACCATTTTAAAGTATACAGATCAGTGTTATTGAATACAAGTACATTTAGGGTTATTGAGTACAAGTACATTTATATTGTTGTGTAACCATAACCACCATCCATCTCCAGAACTCTTTTCATCTTGCAAAACTGAAACTCTAGACTCATTAAACAAAAATACCCCATTCTTCCCTTCCCCAAGTCCCTGGCAACCACCATTCTACTTTCTGTCTCTGAGTGTGCCTATTCTAAGTGCCTCATATAAGTAGAATCATACAGCGTTTGTCTTTCTGTGACTGGCTTATTTGACTTAGCATAATGTCCTTAAGGTTCAACCATGTTGCAGCATATGTCAGAATTACCTAAAAATATCTTTTAAATGTGTCTATAATGCGAAATTAAGAATGAATTTTATATTACTCATTTACATCCATTTTATAGGAACTTTCACATGACAGAATTAATATAACTACTCTATAAATCCTGTTAATCATCTTTGTGGTTTTCACCTGGATTATTTTCTTCACCTCTAACTTGCTACCTTATTCTAATATCAATAATATCTTCTCATTTGAAAAAAAAAAAATCACCAAAAGTATAGATCTAGAAAGAAACCCACTCTATTCAATGAAAACTCAGATAACAAACAACTTTTAAATGTCTACATAAAATATCACATGGCCTACATTAGATATTTACATTCTTATGACTTTTGCTAAACAAAGACACTAATTAATTCAACTTTGGTACCTTGGACATGCCTAAACAGATAATTACAATGCAATATAACATCTTTAATGTCAATAAGAAATCTAGTTTCATCATGTTCTGCCATTTTCAGTTCTTACCTTGAAATGCTAGCACACAATTGACTGTTGATCCTTCTACATAATGTTCAGGCATAGGGGACCATAAAAATGTGTAATAATCACGAGCAGTACTCCATCCGACCTAAAGGAAAAATAACAAAAGTGAGGGCAGTGGGGAGGGTAACAATAGGTTAATATTGCCCTGATATCTTGTAGCATATTTTTAAAATTATACCCTAAAATTAATACATGCATTTAATGTTTACAAATCATGAGTATTTTAACAAGCAAGTATAATTATATTTTTATTAAGCTATAGCCTAATGCTATAAAAATCTACAAAAACTGAATAGCAGAGTTTCTACTATGTATTAAAATGCAATTTGCTATCCAATTTCTCTAGGATAATCTAAGTATGCATACAATTAAATATGAGAACTTTTGTTTTGCTTAAAATTTGACTTCACTAAACACAGTGAGTTTTTTAAAATTTATGAGGGTATTTCAGAAAGTTTGTGGAAATATGGAATTGAACAACAATACGAATCTTTCCATGAAGTTTTTTTTTTTTCCTTTTTGTCTTTTTTCGTGACCGGTAACGGGATCGCAACCCTCCGTGTAGCACCCGTACCGCGACCGGCTACGGGATCGCAACCCTCAGTGTTGCGCCTGCACCGCGCTCAACCAGTGAGCGGACCGGTCTCTATATGGGATCTGAACCCTCGGCGGGAGTGCCGCTGCGCTCCCAAGCACCGCACTCTACCGAGTGCGCCACTGGGCCGGCCCCTCCATGAAGTTTTTGAACACCCATCATAATAATTTATACCTCAATTTAAGTGATTTTTTTTGTTTTACTCAGATACTCCCACTCTCCCTTAAATCCACCACTAAATTCACTAATCTTTCACCTTTGGCAAGTCTTGTCTGCAGCCAATTCGCAAATTTTGCAAAAGGGCCTTTGGTACAAATAGACCACTTATGTCTCATCTATTGCTAAGACATTTTCAACTTACGACATGAATATATACATTATATATCTCAATCTGTATTTTCCAGATTGTACCATGTCCATCTAATATTCTAAGACTGAACATTAGAGGTGTTTAAAACAGGTACTAGATATCCATTTGCTAGTAATAATACAAGAAATTATGCATCAGTCACAGGATTATATTATATGTATTCTAAGATACTAATTGGTCTCGGATTGCAAACAGAATACTGAAGCTGGAAGAACCTTAGCCACCTTTAGTCTCTAAAGTAATGGCTGAAACTGCAGGTTACACCCCGGTAGGAAGTGATAAAATCAACTTAGTGGTTCATAACTAGCATTTATTTTTGAATTATATGGAATAGTATGAAAGTACATTAATGTTAAGTGCTGCTTTCATGAAAATCTGTTTTAGGTGTATTTGCATGCAACTTTGCTGGGGCGAATCACAGAATTTATTTCTGTGTGTCAGGGTCCAAAACATTTGACATAATCATCTCTTTACAGAGGAGAAGCTTTAGGAATCAATGAACAAGTGATTTACCTCACCTGTCTGAGCCTCAGATTTTTTTCTCTAAGAGTGGTTGGAAGGATTAAATTAGATGGTGAACCTAAAAGCAGCACTTTGCAAAGTACCTGACCAATGGTGAGCACTCCATAAATGGTAGTTACTGCAAGGGTAGTATATTGCAGTGATTAAGAGTATAGGGTGTGGGGTCAGATTGCCAGAAAAGATCACTTACTAGCTGCATGACTTTGGACAAGTTACTTATTCCTATTTCTTCCTCTTTAAAATAGAGATAATGGTAATAATCTCACAAGGTGTGTCTGTGTTAAAAAAGATCATCCCTGTATTTAGCATGGTGCCTGCCTAGCACATAAGTGCTCATTAAATGTTACTGCTCATTAATAGCCAAGGACACACAGCCTATTTGGGACAGTGATTTTTTTTTTTTTTAAAGATGACCGGTAAGGGGATCTTAACCCTTGACGTGGTGTTGTCAGCACCACACTCACCCAGCGAGCAAACCGGCCATCCCTATATGGGATCCGAACCCGTGACCTTGGTGTTATCAGCACTCTCCCGAGTGAGCCACAGGCCAGCCCCGGCAGTGATCTTGACTGTAAGATATTCTGTCCCTCATTCCATATCCCCCAATGCTTAAGGAGTTCATCTGAAGTTTTTCCCCCAACAGATATGTCTGGTACAAATAATATCTTGCATTCTTTGTCCTTCTCTATACACTGCTATTGAAAAAAATACTATCAAGAGCTACATTTTTCTTGAGGAAAAAAATGTCCCTAAAAGAAAAGTTTCTACACCTGGCCCAAGTGATCAAGAGAGGTGCTGAGTGTGCTATTTATTTGTGATGGCTAACACAAAACTGCTAACTTTACAGTTAAAGGTGATATCTGACTCAAGTAGCACTGGGAGTAGCAGTAACAGATACAATTCAGGGAGTGTATATTTTGGCTTATTATTATTACTCTTATTTTACAAATTAGGAAACAAGAACTTGAAACGAAAGTTCAAGCTCTTAACCATCAAGACATTACACACTCTTCTCCTGACAGGATATAAAAGACTCTTCATACTTTCTGAAACTATACCTTCCTTCCAACACTGACAATATAACTATATAATTCATTAAAAAAATAAAAAGTACAGTACAGTTGAAAAACGACAGAAAAGAGTAAGGAAAGGAGGGAAAGCTTTGTCCATAACTGTTACCCATGAGAAGAAAAACATAAAATGGGAGAAATGAGATCTTTTACCAGATAAGAAAAGTATGTAAAAGGGAGCGACATCAGCAAGATGGCAGAAATGGTAGCCTTCAAACTTGTTCCCCCCCAAACACCAATTTAACAATATACAGTGCAGAAAGCATTTGTGAGACCTCCAAAAACCAATTAAAAAGTTGCAGTACCCCAGACAGGCTCAAAGTCAAGAACAGCTGCATTGAAAAGGGCCAGAAAAGCCATTTCATAACAATCCCCAATAGCCCTTCCCCCAAGCCAGCACAACTCAGCAGGATCAGGAAGAAGAGCCTAGTTCACAGATTCTCCCTAGGGAGGAAAAGAAAAGAGTGGAATATGCGTCCAACATTCTGGCTTTTAGGTGGACTGTTCAAAGGCCAGGTTTTGTCACTCCTGATTCAGGGTGCTTACAGAAACAGCATACTTTGGTTACTTAGGGACTGAGGAGAACAAAGGACTACTCAACAGCTTTTTCATCACCAGAAAACCTGCAGTACCAAAGACGGACATCAGAGGGTGCAACAGAGTACAAGCTCTTGAAAGAGGAATCAGCCGATCTCCATAACTGAGAAATTACATGCAAAAGTCGAGAAGACATATCCCCATAAAAGGCGTAAGGGAGCCCCAAGAATCTCTAACCTGGCTGTTTGGTGAAGGTCTACCCTGTACAAAGCCAGTCAGTGAAGGCTGAGAGAGTAAAGGCTGTTTTATCAAATGCACAAAACAGCAAAAAACAGCAAAAAAACAGCAAGGCAAATGAAAAAGCAGGGAAATATGGCCTAATCAAAGCAACAAAATAAATTTCAGAAACCAACCCTAAAGAAATGAAGATCAAAGAATTCAAAATAATCTTTAAAAAGTTCAGTGCACAAGAAAACACAGATAACCAAATAAACAAAATCAGGAAAACACATGAGTAAAATGAGAATACCAACAAAGACAGAAACTAAAAGAAACAAGAATAAAACAAAACAAAAAAAAGTAAGAGAGAAATTAAGAAAAGAAACTAAAAAGAACAGAAATTCTAGAGCTGAAGAATAAATGATTTGAAAAATTCACAAGAGGGGTTCAATAGCTGACGTAATCAAACAGCATAAAGAATCAGCAAACCAGACAGGTCATTTGAAATTAATAAGTAAGAGGAACAAATAGAAATAATGAAGAAAAGTGAAGCTTAAATGGCTTATGGGATACCAACAAGCAGATCTATATATGCACTGAAAGATCCAAAAAGAGAAGAGAGTGAGAAAGGAGCAGAGAGCTTATTTGCAGAAGTAGCCAAATACTTTCCAAATGTGAAAAAGGAAATGGACATCCAAATTCAAGAAGCTCAAATGAATTCAACTAAGATATACCCAAATAAGCCTACACACTTAGACACATTATTACAGTAGTATCCCCCTTATCCATGGGGGAATATTTTCCAAGACTCCCCAATGAATGCCTAGAACTATGAATAGTACCAAACCCTACATTCACTATGTTCTTTCCTATACGTACTACCCATAATAATTAATTAGGCACAGTAAAAGATGAACAATAATAATAATAAGACAATTATAACAATATACTGTAATAGAAGTTGTGTGAATGTGCTCTCTCAAAATATGTTATTGTACTTTACTCATCCTTCTGGTAATCTGTCAATCTGATAACTGAGATGTCTACTCAGACCAATAAACAGGTAACAGATACAGCATGAAAATGCTGGACAAAAAGATGATTCAAGGTCCAGGTGGGATGGAGTGGGATAAGACGATTTTATCACACTACTCAGAAGAGCATGCAATTTAAAATTTATGAACTGTTTATTTCTGGAATTTTCCATTTAATATTTCCAGGCTCTGGTTGACTGCAGGTAACTGAAACTGTGGAAAGTGAAACCCCAAATAAAGGGGAACTACTGTAATCAAACTGTCAAAAGTTAAAGAGAATCCCAAAAGAAAAGTGATTCACCACACAAAGGAGCTCACGTAAAATTATCCATGGATTTCTCAGCAGAAGCATTATAGACCAGAAGTGAATCCTGTAATACTGTAATGGTGGTGCACTTAAGACTGTTAATTCTGGTATAGAGCTTAAAAGAAAGCATAAAAATGACTACAATCATAAAACTACATTAAGGTTACAAAATATAAAAAGATGTAACTTGTGACACTGATAACAAAGTGAAGGGGAGATGTAAAAAGGCAAAGTTTTTTAATGCAATTGAAATTAAGCTATTATCAGTTTTAAATAGATTGTTATTAACTGAAATGTTTACACACAAAAGAAAATAAGATGAGAATCAAAGCATTAAAAAAAATACGAAGACAGCAGAAGAGGAAAATAGGGACAAAATAACTAAAAAGTCATACAAAAAACAATTAACAAAATGGCAATAGTAAGTCCTC